GCAGAAACAGATGGCCGACCGGAATGTACGCCCAATAAATACAAGTAACTATTTATCCAAGATTGGGGCCGAGGAATACGGCGCCTGCGGTAGTAGAGGCTGTGGTGGTGGATCGATACTTACGGGCCCTGCCTCATGAGGCGAAGCGGTTCCTCAGTCAACAGGCCTTGTGTCACACTCACCTGCCAGCTCGATCTTCCACACCTGCCCCGCATCCACAATCAGTCACTCTCCTGCCTTCCACACCTGCTTCGCATTCACAATCAGCCCCGCTACATAAGCACTGCACACCCAGCCTGTCATTGCCAGATTGTTCTTCGCGTCATGCAAGTCTCTCCAGCACTCTACCTTGGACTGATCTCCCGGTTTCGACCCTGCCTGTTCCCGACCCGTTCGTCTGTCTCCGCCCCGGTGAGCACCTCAGCCTTCTGTCCCCGACCACGAGTCCTGCCTGAGCGCCTCAGGTTTCTGTTGCCTGCTCCTTGGATTGCCCGGCGCCTCTGCCCCTGTGCTCCGGATTCCCGACCGGCCCAGCGATCGCACCAGCTGTCTCCCGGCATCTTCTCCCCGATCCTGAGGACCGCACTCTGCTCTGCCTCTCATTGTGCCCGAACGCCTGCTGTGAGGCCGTGTTCAATAAAAGCGTTAACCAAACACTCCGTGCCATTGTGCTGCATTTGGCTCCGCCACACGCCCGTGTCACCTTGACCACAGCCGATCTAACTGTGGAAGTGGTGAAAAAATATCAAGCCACAACAGAGATGCTTCAGGCCTCCAGAAAAGAACCCAGGAGCGCGGCCCTACCACAGACTGAAGGAACCCGTCCCAAGGTTACCAACCCAGCCTCTTCAGGAGCCCCAGAGGGAGCGAGAAACCCGCTGGGTCCAAAGAAAATACACCAGGAAAGGGAAACCCAACAGTGTACCGGTGTGGGGGAGTGGGACACCTCTCCTGGCAGTGTGGGACGCAGGCGGACGAGCCTATGCCCACGGCTGAGTCATCCAGCTCACCACCCGCCCCCCCGGTTTGCCTCGCTCATAGGACTTATAGATGCCCCCCCCGGATCGACCTCCCACCTGCCCGGTGACTGTGAATCACCAGGACGCGGAGGCTAGATTCGGGCAGCTGGGCTACCCTGGTGCGAAAAGACCTGGAAGGTCCATGTGGTTTGACCCCAGGGAAAGTCTTTCCTGTGTCCATAGAGACACCAGGGACTACCCCATCGTTGAACTCACAATGACCACTACCCGGGGAACCATACTCACGGAGGTGAGGGTGGTTGATTCCTTGCCCGTTCCCATCCTAATTGGACGAGACTTGCCAGCCGTCCACCTGCTGTGGAGGGAGACTCAGGAGCGGCTAGGCATGGTACCTCGAAAGCGGAGAGGTAAGACTCATCCTGAAAACATTCATGTGAAACCCTCAGAATTACGCTCTCCGGTCTGTGCTATTGCAGGAATGACAGGTGCCCAGGCTGACACAGAGGCGGGTCCGGACACTGGAGAAGATAACATGGCCCAGGAAAGTGCTCCGATCTCGAGCGAGGAAGACGCCCCGGGCATCGACGGACTTCCCCCTCTCACAGGCCAGTACGGTACAGCCCAGTTACAGGATCCCACTTTGACAAATGCCCTGAGAAATGGGCAGGGAGTAGTGCCAAGGGATCGGACAAACCCTACTTATCCACATTTTGCAATAAGCCGGGGGTTAGTCTATCAGGCAGTAAATGATGTGAAGCACTTTGAGTCTGCCTTGTGTATGAAAAGCGCTATACAAATAAAATTGCCTTGCCTAAAGAAAAATCATGAAGTGCATGAACAGCTCCTCATACCACAGCCCTACCGAGCCACCGTACTTCACCTAGCCCACTAGGGGCCCACATAGGGGTCGAGAAAACCAAGGAGAGAATCCTGCAACGCTTCTTTTGGCCCGGAGTACACAAAGAGAATTTCTGTCGTAGCTGCCCAGAATGTCAGCAGGTGCCGCCGAAACCCACATATAGAAATCCGCTAATTCCCTTTCCAATTATCGAAACTCCTTTTGAGAGGATTGGACTGGACATAGTGGGGCCCTTACCAAAAAGGGCCAGGGGGCATCAGTATATTTTGGTCATCCTGGACTATGCAACCCGATATCCTGAGGCCATCCCGCTGAGGAAGGCTACATCCCGACACATCGCCAACGAGCTGTTTCTCCTCTCAACTAGTCTTGGAATCCCAAAGGAGATATTGACCGACCAAGGGACTCTGTTTGTGTCCAGGGTGATGAAGGAACTCTGTGCGATACTGTGCGTGTGCTCATTGGGACTTTCAATGCTTCACTTGCAAAGAAATGTGTGATTTATAATTGTAGGTGTATTTTAGAGAAACAGAATATCAAAAAAAAAATCCAGAAAACTGCATTTTATAACAATTATGACTTTGTTTGCATTTGATGCAGAAAATAAGTATTTGAACCCCCAAGCATACAGCAAGAATTCTGGCTCCCAATGACCAGTTATGTGCCAAAGAAGCACACAGATTAGTTGTCATTAATCCTAACAAGGTAACCTTATCTCAATAGGTGATGTGTATAAAAGAAACCTTTCCAAAGAATCATACTTCACACCTTCAACCTCACCACCATGGGCAAGACCAAAGAGTTGTCCAAGGACGTCAGAGACAAAATTGTAGACCTGCACAAGAATGGAATGAGTTACAAAAGCATAGAAAAGCAGCTTTGTGGGAGCCACTTAACTGTTGGTACAATTATTCGCAAATGGAATCAACATCAAACAACGGTCAATGGCCCGCCGGTCTGGGGCTCCATGTAAGACCTCGTCTCGTGCAGTATCTGGGATCATCAGAAAGGTGCGGAATAACCCCAGAACTACACAGGGGGAGCTTATTGATTATCTCAAGACAGCTGGGACCACAGTCACCGAGCAAACTATCGGAAACACACTGCGTCTTATGATTTGTTCTGTGCGCGCAAGGTTCCCCTGCTCAAGAAGTCTCATACACAGGAACGTCTGAAGTTTGCCAATGAACACCTCAATGATTACAAGGAGTTTTGGGAGAAAGTGATGTGGTCAGATGAGACCAAAATCGAGCTCTTTGACATAAACTTGACTCACCGCGTTTGGAGGGGGGCGCTTGCAGAGTATGACCCCATGACCACCATCCCCACCATCAAGCATGGCAGAGGAAGCATCATGCTTTGGGGCTGTTTCTATGCTCAAGGTACAGGACGACTCCACCGCATCCAGGGGGCTATGGATGTGGCCATGTATCGTGCAATCTTGGGCGAAAACCTCCTTCCCTCAGCCAGGAAGTTGAAAATTCGTCGAGGGTGGGTCTTCCAGCAGCACAATGACCCAAAGCATACGGCCAAGGCAACAAAGGAGTGGCTCAAGAAGCGGCATGTTAAGGTCATGGAGCGGCCTAGCCAGTCTCTGGACCTTAATCCCATAGAAAATCTGTGGAGGAAGCTGAAGCTTCACATTGCCAAGCGACAGTGGCAGAGTGGATCTGCAAAGAGGAGTGGACCAAAATCCCTCCTGGGTTGTGTATAAACCTGGTGACCAACTACAAGAAACGTCTGATGTCTGTGCTTTCCAACAAGGGTTACTTCACCAAGTATTAAGTAATGCTTTTCTTGGGGGTTCAAATGCTTATTTTCTGGATCAAATGCAAATAAAGTCATAAATGTTATAAAATGCTGTTTTTTTGTTGATATTCTGTTTCTCACTGTTAAAATACCCCAACCACTATAATTATAGATCACACATTTCTTTGCAAGTGGCCAAACTTTAAAATCGGCAGGGGTTTAAATACTTATTTTCCCCACTGTAGTTGCAAGGAAAGTAAACATATTTACTAGGGGTGTAATGATTCATTTTAACAACGATTCATGGTTGCCGATTCGATTCATGGACGATCTGGGTTAATTTAGAACGATTCGATTCAGTGACTTGAATTCGATTCAGTAACTTTACTGGACAGTGTAGGCAAAGTTTCTGAGATCCCTGTTTCTTGTAAGGAAATCAAGTTTAAATTAATTATGGATATTATAAACAAACAATTAATGGCAAATGTATTAACATTTTCTTTGAATCAAGTGCCATTTTCAATGTAAACATTACACAATAATTATACAATGTTTGGATCAATTTACAGAACCCCAGATTTTCAACCACATTGTAGGGTCGCATGTCTTTACAGCTAAACTTTGCAATTGTTACTGTGATGTTGAGTTTGGTGCTGGCGAGGCCTGAGGTGTCTGCAGAGCTGGAGTTACCTGCTGCTGCTGCTGCTGCTGCTGCTGCGGTAACGCTGCTAGAGGAGCCTCACTGTCGGCGTTGTTTAATCCCATGGCGCCTTAGTAGATGGCCGGAAAGATTCGTTGTGTTTCCGTGTTTTTTATTTGGCTTCTACATATTCTACAAAAGCGACCGACTTCTTTAGAACACCTCCGTGTTTGCAAAAGCCAAAATGTCTCCACACGCTGGATCGATAAGTTAGTTTGTAATAAATGTCCCGCTCGCAGTCGTCTCCTCCACGCTGTGTTTTGTTGTTGTTCCGAGTTTCGCGCGGCTGCCGCTGCATACTGATGACGTCACAGACAGGCAGACTGAATCGAGTAACATTTAACGTGTCTAAAGTGCTAAAAAACAAACACACATCCATACCGTTTTTGTACTTAAATCCAATGTGCAGTTTACAAGTATCGATTCAATCGATTATGTACCATTTCAATCGATTTGTAATCGATGTATGTCGTCCGGAATGCCGATTTGCGGAGCACAGATCGATTCAGTTGGATCGCAGGAATATAAATCGATTAATCGTTTCAGTGAATGAATCGTTACACCCCTAATATTTACACATAGCTTCCAGAATTTGAGGCTGCAGCAGACAGAAGTTAACAATATGTGGAAAAGTGGTTGTAAATGAGTTTGTTTTATAATATTTGAGTTTTCATCAGGACAAATATTATAAAGTGAGTTCACAATAACAGCCTTTTAGCACCAAAGTGGATACAAACTTTACTTTTGTTTTTATTCAATAACTGTAGTTGAATTATCCCTTTACCATTGCTGAACCATCATCCATACCATCATCAATCCCAGTCAGACGTATAGAAACACCCAGAGTACAGAGGCCTACAACACTGACAGCAGATTTGTGACCACCTGAAAAAGGAAACAAGCATTCGAGATATTCTACCACAGTACTCACATTAGGGCTATTTATCAGCATTAGGATAATTATCAGTCTGTTGCTCGGATTACTTTAGGTAGATTCGTCACATACATTCATCACTGCCACATACGCAATGCATCACTACCTCTTTAAACTGCTGGTTTGATATTTTATGACACTTTGTACATTTATTGCATTCAAAAACATAAGTGTGGTGAAGCCTCTGTTTACCCTTTGAATATACAGCATTATGTATATGTGTTATTAAAATCACATCCATAACCTTAAACTTGTACATGTGGAATCACTGAAGCAGGTTGATTGAAAATACAATCTGTCTGTCCCACCACCCGCAAGTATATTTTTCTGAAAGACCCGATAATCAAACATACATTGTAGGTAAAACTGGGCTAGATTTTCTTAGAAGACAAAAATCATTAAAACCCCTGATTGAGGATCACCATGACCTGATCTGCTCTCCGGTATCCTAATGTTGACAATGCATTTGGGTTCTCCTCGAAGCCCCCCAGAACTAACATTAATGCTATCGTGTTCTACATGAACTATTCAACACTTTAAAAAAAGGTAAAAAACAACAGAAGTCAATCGGAGATCTTAGGAAAATAGAAATCTTTGGTCAGCATGGACACGATACATGGGATCTGCTTCTTGCCGCTGTACCCGGGTGTGTCAGAGGAGGACTCAAAGTGCAGCGCCACCCTGTGGTTGAGTCGGGTCATGATCTGCATCAGCTCCAGCTGGCCGCTGAAACGCCGCAGCATCTCACACAGTGACTGCATGAACCACGAGCCATTCTGGGTGTTTCTCCAAGCGTAGTAGCCTGTGGGACGTTTTGCTGCATTAAACTACTCACAGTCAGCCTTCATCTAACGCTACGACGTAAGGTTACCTGGGGCGGTGGAATAGGCGTACAGGAAGTCTGCTTCCACAGGGATCCTGTCCGACGTCTGCCCACCTACACTGTCGGCCTCAATTTGGGACCCTTCATCCAGCTCCGTCCCCCGGCACGCCTTTAGGGGGCGACAAGCACGAGCATGAGACGTGATGGTGTTTTTTTTGGCATCATCCTAACCCCCCCCTCACAGTAACACACACACACACACACATATGTACATATACACAGATTAAGGCTGTTAAAGTTAACCCATTAATCCATGAGATAATTATGACCGATGAATGAGATAAAATATTTCAATGCAGTTAACGCAACTTTGTTTACTTCTGTGGATAGCTGCAGTCAGTTAGATCGGAAAGACAGAGGCGGTTGTTGAAGATGGAGAGAGCCTTTTGTATTGGAGGTAAAACAAACAGAGGCACGACACACAGAGGAGAACTGTGCAGAGGAATTATTTCATGTATGAAATAGGGAATTAACCAATTGATCTCATATTTAGAAATGTATTAATCTAAATTAAATCGCAATATAAGTTTGTTATTCTTCAAAAGACTGAATCTTATAAATGAACAAGTAATCACTTTAGAAAGTGTGTTTTAGACGCTGTTTAATTGTATTTTTTTGGGGCTGTCAATAGATTAACTAATTAATCACGTGCTAATTAACTAATTAATTAAAACATGTATTTTAGACACTGTTTAATTGTTAGTTATTTTAAACACAAAACCACACACATTTGTTAATCTTGGAGGCAGAATTCCACCCTCTGGAACATGTTGTGAAAAAAACTAGTGACTTTTCCTGCGGTCCTTGTCCTCGTTTTCCAAACGCAAAGTCTTTTAGGGACACTCTTCAGACTGTATCGCGTAGGCTAGACTGCTACTTGAGAAGTAGCCTTGCAGATGGACCGTTTTTTGTTGGTCCATTACATAAAATCCCAATGACGTACATTTTAACCTGTGGTTATACCATGACAACATGTAGAAAAGTCCAACGGGTTGAATGCTTATGCTTGGCAGTGTGTGTGCGTGTGTATATATATATATATATATATATATATATATATATATAAAACACACACACACACACACACTTCTATTTATGTGTTTTATTTATTATCTTTATTGTGCTTGAGCTGCTACAATCCACACATTCCCCCTATGGGGGATCATTAAAGGAATTTCATCATCATCATCAGCAGCAGCAGCAGTGGTGGTTCTTCTCCTCACTCAAACAAGTTAGTGGCATATCAACCAGACTTTCTAATTATCACACACAGCTAGAAATGTCAATCGAAGCAGTAGATTCCTCATTGCAATGCATCGTGGTACATGTAGGCATTCCTCAGTCATCACAGCCTGCACCGAGGAATGAAGTTGGCTACATGGACCCTCATCTCACCTGTATGAAGAAGAGTTTGGGTTTCCCCACCAGACTCCTGCAGCGATCTCCTTTGAAGAACTTTGTCAGGTCATCTAACTTCTCGAAGCCGTCGGTGCCGTATATCACACCCTCGTCCCCATGACTCAGCAGCACACACACAAACGACGCGCTGTTGCTGTGATCCTGCTTGGATACTGGAGACACACAGAACAAATGTTCTGTTTTAATAGCGCAGATGCTGTATGTTCATAAATAGATGATTTGTAACATATGTAACATATTGCACAGACATTGGTGAAGCTCATGAGTGCGTTTTGGAATCAGGGAAACCAGAAACCAGTGTCAGACGCTGACATCTAGAGCAGGGGTCTACAATTAAAATGTGAAGATGTCCAGTTAGAGAGAATTTCTAGAAGCAAGATCCGGAAGATCATAATGTGACTACTTGGTGTGATCGAATAAAGTAGAGTTGATCAACATTTGCATATAATCAATATACGACATATATGTGTGACTAAATATAAATAATGTTCTCTCAATTAACTAAATAGAAGTAGGGCTGCATTTAATAAAGTGCTTCAATTCATAAAAAATAAGATAACGGATGATGAGATTGAATTTCCCCATTTCTGCTTCACTATTTGGACTTGACAGTCTCAGCAAATTCTAAATGTAAACACATCAGAGTTCAATACACACACACACACACACACACACACACACACACACACACACACACACACACACACACACACACACACACACACACACACACACACACGTGGAGGAGCTCATTGAGCCTCATGATGGTGTCAACGGGTTCTGAGCAGATATGAACACAAACCAGTCCGTACATTGTGGATTAAATGCTTTACTTTCGCTGTCCATTTCTTCCTAATTTTTTTTTTGCGGATGGGACGGCTTCTAGATCTGGGGCCAGGACCGCGGCCTGCCAGTTCGTGACCTCTGATCTAGAGGTTGCCGCATGTTGCTACGGTAACGCTGTTTACTATGTAAATGAAGCAAATCACCCCAGATCCAACTTTGGAATACTTATTTAAAGTCCTTTATAAAAAAGGATTACAATCAGTTGATAATATACTTTCAAAGTTGTCCCTAGATTTAATGAGGAAATCTTTCATTTTAAAATATCCATACTTGAAGTTCAATCATAACTAATTTGAAGATAGGAATTTAACATTTTCTGTGGAAAAAAACAACAACTACAAAAGACTATATTGGAACTGCCAACTTCGAGTCACTGAAGGAAACCTTTTAATAGAATTATTATTATTTCTTCTTTTTATCCAATTGTTTATTAAATACGTTATGGAGTTACTTTGCCATGTGAGAATTTTGCTTGTGCTCATTTATTTTTGATGTACTAAAAAACCAAAACAAATACATTTAAAAATAGGCAGATGGTTGAGCATTTTACTTCAACATCAGACACCTCGAGCAAATGAAAAGCTGCATGTTTCCATTACCCTTGACCAGCAGCTGTATCATCTGGTCCACAGTCTGATCGTTGGCCACAGTGACCTTATAACCTAGTTTCGAGAAGGTCCTGAAAGCGTCGGCGGCATCCACATCCGTCCCGTTGCGAGGACTCATGCCTGGAGAGACAGGCAGAAAAGCAGAGGTAGAAACGCACAGGCTTCAACACAACATGGTGATTTGTTCTGCAGAGCGAACAGAGTCGCTGAAATGACAAGACACAGGTGAAAGAAGCCAGAAACTCATGGTGGTAGGACGACGTTGGGGCTTTTGAGTAGATCCTGGAGTACGCCGATCAGAAGCTTTCTCGTGGCAGACATTATTGATAATATTAACGATGGCTCGGTTCCATTCCAGAGTCCCAGGAACCCGCCACAGAGATCCACACCAGGAGAATAAATCTGAAGTAGCTATATACAATTTGGCACTTGCTTATTTTATTATGCTCTGTTGAACCTGGGATTTTACTACTGCTCCATGTCCAAATGTCTTATGTGGAAAAAGACTTGTGGACGCTGTGGTTGAGTTTTAAAAAATTAATGATGTCCTACTCTTTACCTAACCCCTTTACCTCCACGGAAAGCGCTGTGGAGCAAAAGGACCGATGTGACGGACTGAAAATAAGGAGTGAGGAAATGTGGTGGGAAAACTATTATACCGTGGATCCGGAAAGTATTCACAGCGCTTCACTTTTTCCACATTTTGTTATGTTACAGCCTTATTCCAAAATGGATTAAATTCATTATTTCCTCAACATTCTACACACAACAACCCATAATGACAAAGTGAAAACTGTTTTTTGCAAATCTGTTAAAAATAAAGAACAAAAACATATACATAAGTATTCACAGCCTTTGCTCAATACTTTGTTGAAGCACCTTTGGCAGCAATTACAGCCTCAAGTCTTCTTTGGTATGATTCCACAAGCGTGGCACACCCGTTTCTGGGCAGTTTCTCCCATTCTTCTTTGCAGAACCTCTCAAGTTCCATCAGGTTGGATGGGGAGCGTTGGTGCACAGCCATGTTCAGATCTCTCCAGAGATGTTCAATGGGGTTCAAGTCAGGGCTCTGGCTGGGCCACTCAAGGACAGTCACAGAGTTGTCCCGAAGCCACTCCTTTGTTATCTTTGCTGTGTGCTTCGGGTCGTTGTCCTGTTGGACAATGAACCATCGCCCCAGTCTGAGGTCCAGAGCGCTTCGGAGCATGTTTTCATCGAGGATGTCTCTGTATATTGCTGCATTCATCTTTCCCTCAATCCTGACTAGTCTCCCAGTTCCTCCCGCTGAAAAACATCCCCACAGCATGATGCTGCCACCACCACCATGCTTCACTGTAGGGATGGTATTGGCCAGGTGATGAGCAGTGCCTGGTTTCCTCCAGACATGACGCTTGGCATTCAGGCCAAAGAGTTCAAACTTTGTTTCATCAGACCAGAGAATTTTGTTTCTCATGGTCTGTGAGTCCTTCAGGCGGGCTGTCATGTGCTTTTTTATTGAGGAGTGGCTTCCGTCTGGCCACTCTACCAAACAGGTCTGATTTGTGGAGTGCTGCAGAGATGGTTGTCCTTCTGGAAGGTTCTCCTCTCTTCATAGAACAACGCTGGAGCTCTGTCAGAGTGACCATCGGGTTCCTGGTCACCTCCCTGACTAAGGCCCTTCTCCCCCGATCGCTCAGTCTGGCTGGGCGGCCAACTCTTATACTCTGATATGCACTGTCAACTGTGATACCTTATACAGACAGGTGTGTGCCTTTCTCAATCATGTCCAATCAACTGAATTTAGCACAGGTGGACTCCAATCAAGTTGTAGAAACATCTCAAGGATGATCAGTGGAAACAGGATGCACCTGAGCTACAGATTTGCAAATATTTGCCAAAAACAGTTTTCACTTTGTCATTATGGGTTGTCCATTTTGGAATAAGGCTGTAACATAACAAAATGTGGAAAAAGTGAAGCGCTGTGAATATTTTCCGGATGCACTGTAGTAGTAGTACCAAGAGAGTCCTGTAATACTAAATTAAAGTTCCTTGAGCAGAGAAGGTCCAGCGGTCGTACGGAGTGCAGGCAGTCTGCAAGAGAGTAACCAAGCTTGTCGGATCTGTCTCGTTTATCGAAGGCAGGAGCGCAGGGTGGGGGTCGTTATAAAGACATATGGTTAACAATAGAACTGTATAGAATGCATGGGGGAACAGCAAAGACTTGTGGGACGGCATTCTCTCCTTTGGTAGAGGACGGTCAAGTGTACCCTATGCTAAAGGAGATGGGAAAGGATGCATTGAAGCACCTTTCTTGAGTAGTAAGAGAGTTTGATGAGCTCTCCTCACGGCTCCTACGTCGATACGTCCGGGTCGTTTCCCTCACGGTGCGCTCTCAACACTCACGCTACCACACTGTTTAGTACACAAGAACCAAATTTAGTGTGTCACTAAACGTAGTACATCAAAAGTAGTATTGCCCAAAAATACCATGTTCTCCTACATCTGGTAGCATATTACAGAACTCTTCAGGCTGTTTCGACCCAACTATTAGCAAGAGGATCAAAGTTTAAGGTAGATTGAGGATAAACATTAAGGGCAGTGCCTCTAAGTGCCAAAAGAAAAAGAAAAAATAAAGTGTGCAATTTGGTACAGAGTTTCAAGTAGTAACAGTAGTACTTGTTTCACAGCATTTCCTCACAACAGGTGCGGCCGAGTCCTCGCCACAGGGCGGACTTAGAAACATGAAGAAAAAAAAAAAAGATGGCTTTTCACACTCGTGGACATTGTCGATTCGCTGAATAAATTAGAGTAAAAAATGTGTGTGTGTGTGTGTGTGTGTGTGTGTGTGTGCACCAGTGGGTGTAGCTACCTGTGCTGTGGAGGAAGTTCTTATTGTTGATGATCAAACAGATGCCCATGGAGGGATAGTCCATCTTGTAGCGGTACGGGTCAAAGCCTGATTCCATGTCTTCGGAAGTCCTGCTGCCGCCTTTGGGCTTTGCATTCGGGCTGACAATGTGCACACACAAGGACGCACGCCAAAATACACATTTTACATTCACAGACCATTGGATTTCCATGACTACAAACTAAATTTCCATGACCAAAAATGTTGTGAAATCTGTATACATGAAGTAAGTAAGAAAATGTTGTATTTAAACTAACAATGAGAATTCCGAGGCATACAGTGTTTCCCCCGCCATTCAATTAGGCCACACGAAAGTCTGTCTGTTTTTTAATGTTTACAATTATCCACTATGGATGAGTATCGTTTGGGTAAAAACCCAAATGATAGTCAATACCAGTGCTAAAACGATACTTTTAAAACATACCTAAAAACAGTGGCTGAACCAAGACCTTATTCTTTCACAGAAAGTTTACAGTATACGTACAGAGCCTCTGTAAGAGCCGCAAGATGTATTAATCATTTAATCTATGCTCATCGTGCAGAAAATAAAGATATATAACCTGTATTGAAAGCATTTATGTTGGATTGGCGCTCTTTGTGTGTCTCCATTGACGTCATGATTACAGCAGATGCAACACAGAAGAGCTGCATGTGGCACAAGAGCATATCGTTTATCTACCGCGTGACAGAATTTATTAGTTGTCTATTAAGTTGACGCTTTGCTGCGTAAAAAAAAGAGGAAACGGAAATAATCAAACGATCTCCTGTCATTTGCATAAGAAAATGAAGTCACGTGTCTGCAGCTCAATGACGAACAGCACACGAAGGAACGCCGCTACACCCTCGCCAGCAGACGGGCAGCGCACGTCGGAAAATGCTGGTGTTGTGTACGGAGCTGCTCGCCGAAGAGAGAGACGTGCTGCTTGGTGTGTAGCTTCGCTAGCAGTCGCCCTCTGATGGGGTTGCTGTAGTATTCCATGTTTGAAACATCTCATGTTCTGCCTCCACATTACTTATATTCTGCTCGTCCCGGGTCTTTGTTTGTCGTGACTCATGAGGTGCACTTTTCCATATGTAGCCAACCACAGTTAAATCTACCCTTCCCTGACAAGGTGGATGATCCCTGACTTACTGTTTTTACGGCCACAGAACTTTTCAGTTAAGGTGCGTTCACACAACCGCGGTGCAAATTTTCCATGACTGTACGAAAGTGGGATCCAAGTCTGCCTGTTTTACAATAACGCCCCTCTTTTCAGTGGACGGCATGAGGCTGTTGAATCCAGGAGTGATAAGATGTCAATAATTACAATAATTACCTCTTTGGAAAATCTGCCAAAGCATCCACGGTGTCCTCTGCACTCTGCTTGTCTCTGTGGCGCTCAGCCATTATCCTGCAGGCGTGAACAGTTAGAACATGTTCGAACTGTGACGTTTGGTGAAAGCAGAGACACAAAACATAAAACACATTCTCTCTTCATGCCATATAAAACATTCTTTATTTGTGTTGTTTGAACATTGAGAACTCTGTAATAATGATGCTAAAATATAGATCAGAATATTTTTCATGAACATTAAAACCATCACCGCATCCATTATCTTGTTTGGTTCTTTTAGATTCAATAACAATTTGAAAACAACAAGAAAAGTATAATTTTTCAGAAGCTAGACATGTTCCCCCGAGGGAGAAGCCGAGCCATAAAATAGATTCTTATCAAGAGTAACCACGTATTTCAGGCATCAAAGTTTTCTTCCAGTGAAGTAATTCTTTAAATGCACTGCATAACTTTCAAGATGTTCTTTTTTGATTTTGTCAAACAACAGCGAACGCTCTTTGATCAGTTCCAGGTCACATCCACACTCACATCCAGCATGATCACAACACATTTTGCCTGAAACGTAAAAGCAACGATCCGTCATACAACTGTTTAACCGAACCGGGGTTCGACTCCCGGTACCGGCCGACACACAAAGCCCACGACCGGCCACACGAACCAGGCCTGGAGAAGCCGGTGTTACGTGCCTACTGGTTTTTGAACCGGATCCATCCCTACTGGAAGGTCAGGGGCGTCCAATACTGTGACATTATGACGTAACCTTTGCTCATAGCGAAAGTCATTAACTCATAAAAAGAGGAAAAGTCACAAGAAGTCAAAGCTCATTTCACTAGCGGCTCTAATGTTACGATCCACGGACGTGACCGTAACGACACATTTAACTGTGTCCATGAAGCAGATCGGGTGCAGCGCTTCCTGCTTCTGACGTAATGTTGTCACAGGATGACTTTACGCTACTCGAACTGTTGTATTTATAAAAGTGTTTGCCAAGGAAACATACGGATGGGATTAAATTACAACGAATGTTGACCAGCTGACGTTAACTCTCATTCATTTAGCGTTACAGTCTAAATATGCCCAACGCTGGTTACCTTAACTTACAGGTAAAACTCTAATGAACTCTTACTGTGTCTAACAAACAGGAACAAGACGATCGTATTCAACCAAGTCAACACGTTCTCATTACTACTAAATAAATAAAGGTACCTGTTTCTAGAGAGCGGTAGAAAGGAGCACGTAGTGGTGTCATGAAGTCCCGGTCCTGACTATCATTTCAAGGAAACGTCAGGTTGGTCAAAGTACCTGTCTTACAACTTCCAGCCAATCAGGACGCTGCTTCCCATGTGGTCTATTTCCACCAACGGGAGCAGCTGATTCTGATGATGTTTGGGTCATTTGAAACATGAAAGTGAAAACTGAAAGATCAAATGTTGTACTTGAGCTTTGAAAATGACAAAAATGTATCCGAACAAAAATACTATAAAAAAACATGTGTCAAATAGAAGTTTTGCTTTAATTTAAATAAAATACTTATTACACTTGAGGGGCTGCACGGTGGTGTGGTGATTAGCTCTGTCACCTCACAGCAAGAAGGTCCTGGGTTCCACTCCGCCCAGTGGCCTTTCTGTGTGGAGTCTGCATGTTCTCTGCGTGGGTTCTCTCTGGGTTCTCCGGCTTCCTCCCACAGTCCAAAGACATTGTTCATGCACTCCAATATGTTGATTGGAGACTCTAAATTGCCTGTAGGAGTGTGAATACTTGTGTGTCTCTGTGGAGCCCTGTGATTGGCTGGTGACCAGTCCAGGTTGTACTGATAATCAAAAGTTATTTTCATGGGCTTAGTTGGGGGTTTTGCTGTCTTGTCTTGATTTAAGAGTTAGGTAAGGGGTAAGCAGGATCTGCCAAGCAGGCAGACACGAGTCTGACAGGATGGGGAGTCAGTTTCTGTCCTGGCTGAGGAATGTAAGGTCTGCGGGTCAACTAGAAGATTTACCAGCCAAAGGGGGGTTAGAGACACACCAACACTATTCAACATACACACTCTGTTTACGATGTTTACGTTAAGTCAGGAGTCTGGACATTGGATGTGACCGGATCTTAGATGCGGGAGGTGGAAGGTCCTCCTCTACGCCAGTTTAGGGCCAATAGAAATATTTCCTTCTCTGTCTTTCAAGGGTTATAAAACATGATGTTCTTGCTGATGTTAGTTAGTTGTTCTTCCGGCCTGTGTGCTGCCTGAACTGCTCCTGCCTTTGCAAACGCAGCGCTGATACTTGACCTGTGATCTGACAAATAAATTTTCCAGAACGAGAGAAGTTATTCGGCTGAATTTTTGATAACCCCGACCAGGCTCCAAATCTTGAACACGTATTCTTACAATTTGGTGACCCCGACGTGATTTGCTGACCTGGACAAAGAAAGACGGGGACGTCCGTTTTCCGGACCGAGCCGAAAGGACCGGCGGCGTGGTTCAGCATTGACAACAGGCGCGCAAACAGAATCAGGTGAGCAGACAACCTTTTGTTCTAAATGAATAAAATGTCTGTGATTGGATACTTCTAAAAAGATTTGTTGTCAACTGCAGAATTCGTCTCTGTCCATTGACTGAATAAGGTCGTTATAAGACCATTAAATTTAAAACTAAATTTGAAAATTTCCTGTTGATCACATGTAAAGTATAAGCACATACTCACACTGAATTCAACGTTAGGGAAAGTGAATAAGTGTCCATAGGTTTAGGGATTTAGGTAAAAATATATATAATCTTAGTCGGTAGAAATCCAAGTTGCAATCCGTGTGGTACGTAGATACCTCTGGTAACTGCAGTCCCACGTTTGCATGCAGTGGACTGGCAGTTTAGAATAGTGTAGGGATTTAGGTTTAGGGACTTAGGTAAATACATGAAGAGTTTAAAAAGGAATGACGGGGCTCACTTGAGTTCCCTGAGGTCGACTCTTAGTCTGTAGAAATCCAAGTTGCAATCCGTGTGGTACGTAGATACCTCTGGTAACTGCAGTCCCACGTTTGCATGCAGTGGACTGGCAGTTTAGAACAGTGTAGGTGTTTAGGTTTAGGTTTAGGGACTTAGGTAAATATATGAAGAGTTTAAAAAGGAATGACGGGGCTCACTTGAGTTCCCTGAGGTCGACTCTTAGTCTGTAGAAATCCAAGTTACAATCCGTGTGGTACGTAGATACCTCTGGTGACTGGGGTCCCACGTTTGCATGCAGTGGGCTGGCAGTTTAGAATAGAGCAGGGATTTATGTTAATCTTAGTCTGTAGAAATCCAAGTTGCAATCCGTGTGGTACGTAGATACCTCTGGTCCTGCAGTCCTACTCGTGTGATTCTTGGACTGGCAGGTTAGAATATTAGATGAAGAAATAAGGACACAGGGAAAGATTTGTTGTTTTTCATACTGGGAAATGTGTGGGTGGTTGGTGTAACTCCTGGTGTTTTACCGAACCTGGAAGCTGTGCGTATCAGGACTTGAAAAAGGACTGAGAATCCGACAGTGAAAAGTGTTTGACCGGATTACACATCTGTGGGGATATGTATTAAAGGGTAAAAGGGAAAATCATAGTTAAATGATGGTGGTATAAATACGAGAGAAATAAAACAATACGAGTGAACTGGTGTTATAAGCCTCAACAATCGAGCGCTGTATTCCTCTAATACAGTAGAAGGTTCTTGATTGGGTTCACAGTATTGGGCATTGAGTCCTTTCTCTTGTGTTCAAAAACCACGTGTGAATAAATAAATAACCTGTGATGAAAATGGAGGAAACCATAACGATATGGGAGAGGTGTAAAGAAGGCACTCTGGGTTTCGCCCTATTTAAGACTTATAAGAGACATATGGATAAAACCCTAGAAAAAGATAGGAAATGTGTAACAGAAATATGTGAAGTGGGTTGCACAGATGCAGGAAAGAGGAATGTTTGGAAGGGAGACAGATTCTCAACCAACAGGCGAGCAGCTGCAGGACCATCTTAGGATGGCGAGAAGAGGAAAAGACCAAGCGCTTGCGCTCCTTGCCGTTAAGGGGAGATTTTGTGGAAAAGAGAAGAAAATTGCAGAAAAGGCAGATGAGTTCTTAGTGGACTGTAGAACATTTCTGGGAGAAATAAATGCGGTATTCGTGAGTAAGACGACAATGCAGTTGCCGCAAACCAAAGCAGGAGAAGAGAAAGTGCATGAGACCGGTTGTAAATCTAGTGCGCCTCCTCCCTACTCGACAGGCCCATATGCGGAGGCTAATCGGTTGTTAAATGAACCACATCAGATGCCACTGAGGCAAGGGAAAGCTACTAATCCAGGAGAATCTCAGGTTTTGGTAGTTCAAAAAGGGTTGTTACAGGTAACTCCATATCCACATGAAGAGAATGATGGGGTGGAGAAGGTTTCTGCTTTTCTCTCAGAGACGGTACAATATTTGGAGGACAGGCCCCAGCTGGAGCCTGTCGATTGGAGTAATCCTAACACACCACAGGGTCACTCGACAGTCGTAAAGAAGCGGCAACCCGAGCACAGACCTATGTCCTCATTTAATGTAGGGGGAGGAAGAGTTGCAGGAGAAGAAACTTTGTTAGTCATAGCCCAGGCAGAGCGGCAATCAATCACCCGGCGTGGACAGGATGAGCGGGGGAGGCAGGTTGAGTCAGAGGAAGATGAGCCTGTCCCTGCAGATGATTGGGACGAGGAATTTCAGGAGCATGGAGCAGAGCTAGAGTCACAAAAACCACAGTCATCTACTCCGATGGAGCGCCATGAGACAGGGGTTAAGAGGTAATAGGAACAGATATTATCAGGGGAATGCAGCCAGAGCGAATGTGCATCAATGTAATGATTTGAAGTCAAAAATCAGACGGGATGCTCAGGCCTCTCATCAACTACCACTGTTAACGGCTATTTGTAGAGACGGAAGTGAAAAAACAACATATGCGCCACTCGCATTGTCAGACCTAAGCATGATGAAGCTCGCATTACCTAAAATAGAGAAGGGTGGTGCAGCGTGGATTCGTGGGTTCCTTGCTCAGTGTGCGGGTAGTGTTCCCGGTTTGGGGGATCTTAGAAGAATTTTTGTGGCGTGTGCCTCACTAGCTGACCTCCAGAAGTTAGAGGGGGAAGCCGGGACCTCTGACCTCCCTGACGGGGAGCCTCTGGCAAATTGGGTGTCAGTACTCTGGCCAAAGCTCAGACTCCTATATCCTGTGAAGGTGGCTACCACAGAACTCACTTATGTTCCCCCACACGACAGTGAGGGTGGAAATAGTTATTTAAGGAGAGTCGGAGAATTATGGGAGAACAAGTTAGGGGAAGGTGTCATGGATGATCACAGAACCGAGCTTCTTTTTCGTGGCGCCATAGAGTCATCTGTCTCGGAGACAATGAAGACCCAACTAAGAGGAATAGTGGGGTTGTCTGACATGAATTTTGATGCTTGGTCCTCACAGATTAAACACTATGTGGACCGGAGCAAAGAAAAATATGATAAGGAAAAGGGTGAATTAAACAATATTCAGTTACAATTGGCGAAAGCACAGCTAGAGTAAAGCAGAGAGAAGTTGAACCAGGGCAAGAGTGAAGCCAAACAGATGACCCAAACAACAGCGCCATCTCAGGGGGAAGGGCCACCTCAATATGACCCTGATCCAGACCCCCCTCCCTTCCCATGTGCGCCAGCCTGCCAGCAGCCACAACAGGCCGCGTACACTCCTCCACAGGCTTACTATCCCCAACCTTATGCCCCGCAACCACAACACATGATGGGGGCCCCACTGTACGGTGGCTTCAGGCAACCGAAAAGACAATGGGGAGGGGGAAATCGTGGCCGAGTTCCAAACAATGGAGGGCAGTTTAGACAACGACAGAATACTTGTTTCAGCTGTGGGCAGCTTGGACATTGGTCCGACGCATGCCCCCATCCACCTCAGGGTCAGAGGCCTCAGTCCAACCCAGCTCAATACCCTTATGATATCTATCCACCACAAGCACCACATACACTACAACAGGGTAATAGCCTGCGGCATCAGGCCCCAGGTCATCAGCAAATGCCATAGGGGTGCCCAGATCCGACGGCTGACGGTAACCTGTTCCCAGAACCCATGGTGACTCTGACAATCAACGGAAGAGACATTTTGTGTTCCCAAAATATCATTATGCAAATGACGAAGGGATGTATCACTGTAACATTCCCGGATGGGACACAGCAACGATGTGCCACACCCCACTCTTATGGCCACCAGTTGCTGCAAGCTGAAGTTCAACAGACGCTGAATGCAGAGGTCTGGTGGGGGAGAGTGGAGGACTATGATGGAACTGTTCTGCATGAGACTGTCCGCCGTTGGGGCCCATGGTTCAAGGTATTACACCCGACTGAACCACCTGCGGATCCTCCTCATTGCACGATGAACTATTCGCTGTCTCCTGATGAGAACTATGACACCCTGTGGAGTGGACTTGAATTTGAAAGCGAGGTCCATGGACATCCTGCTGTTAAGGTCCGAGAGATCTATGTGGGGAAACAAGGTGTGGCAGCTGCGGTGGAACTAACCTCTGAGTTACAAGTTCTATATGCGCTACAAGAGACCTCTGCTCCTCACATCACCTTGCTCATCCAAAGCGGAGGAGAAGCCAAGAACATGGGGCCGATGGTTAAAGCGGGGGTTGATGCCACGGACTGGTTGCCCACTCAAAATGTTAACTTACGTTACTCTCAGGCTAATGACATGTACCGTATTGCACATACCTCAGAAGTAAAACTTATACCAGAGAAACACCTGCTAAGCCGCACACATGGTAGGGAAAATACTGACCATGAGAACACACAGCTCATGCTAGATAATTTTCCTGATACATTTTGGACAAAAGGGGGAGCTGATGGGGGATTGATTCCAATGGCCCCAGTGGTAATTGAATTTAAAACCGGAACGGTCCCAATTTACCGTCCTCAGTACCCCTTAAGGGAGGAACAAATCGCAGGGATAGAAAAAACAATTGAAGTGTTGCTGCAGGCAGGTGTATTGGAGAGGACGGGGTCCCCCTGGAATACCCCGATTAACCCGGTCCCTAAGCCCGGAAAGCCTGACTATAGAATGGTGCATGATTTGAGGCTCGTCAACAAAGTTGTAGTACCAACTCACTATGACACCCCAAATCCTTATACAATGTTAAATGCAATAGGCCCTGATAAAAGATGGTTCACCTGCATTGACCTGGCGAATGCTTTTTTCTGTGTCCCTCTAGCTGTGCGCTCGAGACAAATGTTTGCGTTTACGTATAAGGGGCGCCAATATACATATACGCGGTTACCACAGGGTTATGTGGACTCACCATCGATTTTTAACCATGTTCTGAAGACCATTTTGGCCGAGTTGGAACTACCAGAAGGAGTTGTTTTACCACAATATGTGGATGACATCCTGCTAGCAGGGACTAGTTCAGAAACGATTATGTCTACCAGAACGGTTCTGCAGTGGTTACAGGAAAACGGCTTCAAAGTGTCTAAATTGAAATTGCAGATTGGGAGACAGAAGGTGAATTTTCTGGGGAGAATTGTGTCACCATCAGGGCAAGCTATGGCTGACACACAGAAGTCGTCCATTTTGCAACGTCCTCGGCCCACGACGGTTAGAGAAATGATGAAATTCTTAGGACTTGTAACATGGAGCTAGAATATTATACCTGATTTCTCGGTGCAGGTGGCTCCCTTGAGGGCGCTAATATTGGGTGCAGGCTATAAAAACTACTCAAAGCCTTTGGTGTGGACCCGGGAGGCGGAGACTGCATTTATTGCCACCAAGCAGGCTATGGCCAGCGCAGCCACGTTTCACCCCCCTGACTCGAGACCCATCCATCTGGATGTTGTGAAAAGAACGGATTTGTGAATTCCGTTCTGTTTCAAAAGGGGGAGGGTAACATAGATCGTAAGGTTTTGATGTGCTATAGTGGTAAGCTGGATAACGTGGAAATAGGGCATCCCTCGTGTGTCAGAAACGTAGCTGCTATTGGAAGAGCGTTGATTAAAACGGCCCATATAACAATGGAACACCAGACTGTTGTGCACACATCGCATGGAATAGTTGCGTTCTTACAGTCAAACGCGTTCACACTTTCCACGGCAAGACAATCAGTCATTGAAAATTAAGAGATAAGGTTGTGTAAGATTTAAATGAGGAATGAAGGTGATAAGGAATTAGGAGAGTTGTTGTATATATTGTCCATTTTTTGGATTACTGTTTTTAGTTTTTCGAGTTTTCTCCTGAATTCAGAGATGGGCGGTAAATTGTTGAGTGCTGCTATTGAGTGTATAGTGCACGATACACTTGATACAGTATCTTGATGATGGAAGCAAATGTCTGATCAAAGGAACATTTATAGCACCAGTACACGAAATATGGAAACTTGTTACAGACGGTCATCCTGTAATGTTCAACAGGTAGTACACCCTTACATTTGGATACGCTAACCATGAGAGGTTGGTGATCTATCAGTAATGAATGAATGGATTGGATCAAACTGAGCATGAGCTGAGTTGTATCTGCAAGTAACAGACATGTCTCCCACCCTCTGCTTTGCTTTTGGGCTGAAGAGCAATAAAAGTGGACATTAACACTGAAGGCTGGACTTGGAAGTTTCCAAGTTGAGGGCAAGAGGTATTTGTTGGTATGCGTCGATCCTTTTACTAGGTGGGTGGAGGCGATCCCCACAAAATCAGAAAGAGCAGCAGACGTAGTAAAATGGCTGACCAGAGAACTAATACCCAGATTTGGTATTCCAGAAGTCATACGATCGGATAATGGTTCACACTTCTCGAACGCTGAACTACAAGAAATAGAGAAAACGTTTGGGATCAAGCATAAATTTGGGGCAGTTTATCATCCTCAGTCTCAAGGGCTAGTTGAGAGAGCTAAAAGAACCATAAAGGAAGGTTTGGCTAAAGTCTGTGCTGAAACGAAGCTGACGTGGGTGGCAGCCCTGCCAATAGTGCTGTATGGGATAAGATCATGTACTAACTCTAAGTTAGGGATAAGCCCCCATGAGGTATGAACGGGAAGAAAGATGCCTTGTCCGTTAACAACCACTTTGCCTACCACTGTTAGCCCATTGCAGTACCGACATGTGGAAATATCTTACTATATGAGAATGTGTAATAATACTGTGATGAGTATCTCTCAACAGGTGACAGAGATCCTTTCTGGAGAAGGAGAGTGTGCACCAGTGGAGGTGGATGACTGGGTACTACGTAAAGTAGCCAGACTCAGTTGGACTGATCCCCGCTGGGAAGGTCCATCCAAAGTTGCAGAAGTAACCACGCACTGTGTGATAGTGTGCCGAGAGGGGTACCTGATCAATACAAGTTAACGGATCAGATAGCGGCCGGATGGGAATCATTGTTCCCTTTTTATAACTGTAAGCAAAAATGTGGATCGACTAAATTATGTACATTTCAATATCCAGCAGCTCACCAATATGACGAGAGATGCTCTGGAAGGGGTGCACAGCCAACTATCGGCCACCTCATTGATGACTTACCAGAACCGGATGGCTTTGGATATGTTATTAGCTGAGAAAGGAGGAGTGTGTGCGATGTTTGGCCAAGCGTGCTGCACTTTTATCCCCAATAACACCGCCCCAGATGGATCCTTTACTAGAGCATTACACGGACTCAGAGCCATGTCTGTTGAATTAGCTGAACACTCTGGTATAGACGGCACCGTCGGTAATTGGTTTGATAAATACTTTGGACAGTGGAAGGGCTTCTTCCTGTCAGTTTTTCTGACCTTAGTAATCGCAATAGTGGTTTTTGCCCTTTGTGGATGCTGCTGCATCCCCTTTATCAGACAACTATGTCTCCGACGCATCACCTCTGCAATAGATGCTAAAATACCCCTGCCATACCAGATGGCTTTGTTACATGAAAGGATCCAATTGTTAGGGCCGGAGGAGATTGGAGAGGAGATAGGTATGGTAAGAACCGACTTCGAGGGACCCGAAGAAGAAATCCTTTTAGGTTCAACATTCCTGTCCGCGTGATCTGCTAACTGTTGCACACATCATATATAGTGGATGCATACACGTAGATGGTGTGATATTTCTAGGCTAGGATGTATTCTGTGTCTATTATACTCGGTTTAGATTTTTTGTACTGTTTAGGGATTTCCATGACTGCTGCATTCACCCGTATTCACTGATATAGATATTTAGCGTTTAGATTGGTGGTTTCTTTTGATTTTTTTTGGTTTACATAATGAATTATGTAAAAAGGGGGAATTGATAATCAAAAGTTATTTTCATGGGCTTAGTTGGGGGTTTTGCTGTCTTGTCTTGATTTAAGAGTTAGGTAAGGGGTAAGCAGGATCTGCCAAGCAGGCAGACACGAGTCTGACAGGATGGGGAGTCAGTTTATGTCCTGGCTGAGGAATGTAAGGTCTGCGGGTCAACTAGAAGATTTACCAGCCAAAGGGGGGTTAGAGACACACCAACACTATTCAACATACACACTCTGTTTACGATGTTTACGTTAAGTCAGGAGTCTGGACATTGGATGTGACCGGATCTTAGATGCGGGAGGTGGAAGGTCCTCCTCTACGCCAGTTTAGGGCCAATAGAAATATTTCCTTCTCTGTCTTTCAAGGGTTATAAAACATGATGTTCTTGCTGATGTTAGTTAGTTGTTCTTCCGGCCTGTGTGCTGCCTGAACTGCTCCTGCCTTTGCAAACGCAGCGCTGATACTTGACCTGTGATCTGACAAATAAATTTTCCAGAACGAGAGAAGTCATTCGGCTGAATTTTTGATAACCCCGACCAGGCTCCAAATCTTGAACACGTATTCTTACAGTACTTTCACTTTCACTTACATGTATTTGGTTATTTGAGGTCTTCTATTTATCAGGTTCAGATGTTACTTTTTTTTCAGGTGAACTTTTAGTTTCTTTCAAATAATCATAATTATTAGACTGCCTTTGGCTCCATATGTTTAGACACAACACAGTAAATGTAAAAGAAAGTACAGTATTTGACAAATGTTTATTGCATCTATCAGAGAACACTACAGAAGTCATACAGCCTCAGCGTGGCTCATGTAGCCTCCAAGTATTCCACCTGTGCACGTTCTGTGCTGGCTCTCATTCCACACACGGTTCCTCGGTCGGGTTCTTCTTCCGCCTCCCTCTGGGCTGCTGGTTGCTCCCTTACAGCTGGTGCTCAGCGGTCCTGACCTGCTTGGTCTCCAGCAGCAGAGCAGGCAAGCTGGCCGCCCCGTACTGGACGGGAGGAAGCAGAACGTCACTGTGAACGCTTTTTGGAGATATCCGGAAGCATCAGATTACGGGAAAGTAGTTTGTGTCAACAAAGTCGTCCCTGTAGCCCCAACACAAACACACACAAGCGCCTTGTGAGCATTAAGTGTGTGTGCGTATGTGTAAATACCGTCTCTTTTTCTTTGGGCCGCTTGCGTCGGTGGTCCAGGTAAAGTCGGTTGAGCTCTCTGAAGTCCCGCAGAAAGGCTTGGCCTCGTCTCAGGTCGGCCAACTGGACTTTAAGCTCAGCTTTCTCCTTCTGCAGCAGCCACGCCGCCCGCTCTGCCCTAACCAATCACACGTGTGCAAAAAGACATCGTGAGGATGTTGAAGCAGGTAGAGGAACGTAGTTCAATAGTGCATCTTGGGCACCAATGTGGAGGTTTTAATGGCTATACATTAGAGCTGGGAGAGGTAATGCATAAACAAATTAATTAATTAACGCACGTTAATGCAGTTTTTCTTATTGTTATTATCATTTTGAAAGTCTGATGCTTACTGCCTCTGAATACACATACAGACAAACCATAGGTCACAGGAGCGATGTTGATGCATGTGGGATTGGGAGGAAATGCTCTCGTTGGTTGAGTCGTGATCTCTTACGTGGACATTTATATTTTAAATTCCAGGCGGTGGTTTTATATTTCATTACATTTATTTTAATTAGGTTTAAGATTAAAGATTAAACTTTGAGATAAGAAATATTTGGTTATTTGATTATTGCAGAGGTTTATGGAATTAAGTGCAATTAAATATTTTAATCATTGCCCAGCACTACTTAATACATTTTTAAAAAGGTTGTTTGGTTTAAAGACGGTAAACCTCTTACAGTGACGCAAGTTCACGGGATAGAAACCCGGTGTGTGTGTGTGTGTTATTATAGCATGCTCACCTCATCAGCTCGTGTTTGGCATCCAGTAGTCTCCGTTTCTTTGTGTGGATGGAAGAAGCCACCTGACACACACAGAAACAAACACCGACGGGGACGGAAAGTAGAAGTCAGTGCCACGAGGCGGCCTGGATTATGTGACATGACTTAAGGGGGTCTGTGAGGCGTCCTTGTGCACACGTGTCAGCTCACAGTGGGGCTTTGAGCTGACACGTGTGCACAATGACAACGTCGACATGCTGGTGTGTGATGTTCATCGTGTCCGCTTTGTGTTGCTATTTGCTCATATAACCCCCAGACCCATTACAGCTTTGACCTGATGAGGAAAATGAATGAGCTCAAACCACAACGTGGGTCAGTAAAGTCTGGTTCTTTTGTCTCAAAGCCAATGTGTTTTTGGTTAGATGGCTGAAATCGTTAATACAGGTTTACGAGATTCAAACCTTTTGTTGTGTGATATAAAAGACGTCCATTTTGTTGTGCCTTAAAAAAGGCGACCTACCTAATCCCTGCATCACTCTCTTTCCATCTTAACATTTATGGGCAGCGGCTGGTCGCCATAGTTACCTTGGCATTTTCTTTTTTTAGAACCTTTAACTCCCTCGAAGTAGAAATCTGGAAGAGAAAAAAACAGAACAAACATGTGTCATTCACTTCTGTTTTGTTGGATATGATACAGTTTGTGTGATCACATTTATTGCTGACTAGATCAACACCATGATGGTGTGATAGCTCCTTACTTTGGGAGGAAACTGGTTATAAGTGGAGAACTATTTCTTTGTCCTTTTTATTAAGTTGACTGAAGGCAAAGTAGTTGTCTTTCTTTGCGTGAACAAACGTTGGACAAAAGTCCAACTCTAAAAGCAAACCAGAACCATGTTGAAAACTACAGTTTGTCTCATTTCTGCAACACCTCGTGTAACAAATTAAAATACAATTGGTAAAGTCTGACCTTTTCCAACAGTTGCTCTTCCACGTTGGAGGAGAAAGAATCAACAGCCTGTTTGACTGCTTTGGACTCCACCGACTCTCTGAAAAAAAGAACTAAGTGTGAACTGCAGCAGTTGCTATGGTGACACAAGGTGGACGCGTCAGATTGACTTGTTTACCTGTACTGGTCACAGAAGTCTAGGAAGGCATCCAGCACCACCTCTGTCTCGGTTCCTCCACCCGCACGTCTCTTTTTCCTCTGTTCATCTCTGTTGGGCTTGTCTGGTTCTGCAGATGCACAAAATGGTTATGGATCACAAAAAAGAAAAGTTGAAAAAAAAGATTTGCAATGACAACAAATGAAAAAGTTTGAACCTGAAAGACTGCATAGAACAAGACAAAAGTACAATTTGGACGGACACACTGTTTTTGCCCTCAATGTAGCAAAATCCATATTTAGTGTAGTCACTGACCCCCCCAAAGCCTGCAGAGGTGGCCCACTCCTCAGTCTCAGCTACAGTCAGAACAGACAAACCCATCGGTCCAGACTGGAAATAACCCACTGAAAATGGGTCCGCAACCCACAGTTGAGATCCACGGCTCTAAAGGGACTCTTCAGCTCTTTCCCCTCACCTGAAGATGATGTTGTAGGTTTCGACTTATTAGATGACAACTTTCTGCTTCTGGCCAAGTTTAAAACCTTTGCCTTCTTTGGGCTCGGGTTCTGAATAAACGACACAAAGACCGACGAGTTCAAATGTAGGGATGCTAAGCTTCTAGCTGCTACAGTATGTGACAGTCAGTCCATACCCAACTCTCATCGCCATCCTCCCCCTCAGACGAGGACAGCACTCGCTTACGGCCCGTGTGAGATTCCTCCTGGAAGAGAAATAGTGTCTCAACGTATTGTCTTCACTAGACAGGACCGCAGTAACATAATCGCGGTAGGTTTTAAACAGTTGATATTATTGGAGACATTTTACCACTCGCTTCCTCGCCTGCGGAGCAGCGTCACCGGGCTTTCCTCGTTCCGTTTCACTCTCACTGTTCTCACTCTTCATCTGCTGATTTTCCACTGGCCTTGTTGGGACGCAGCATAAAACATTTGATGGGACGACACAATGACAGCTGACAGAATAGAAAGCGTTACGTGCCACACCACAGTTCAAACTGACCCTTTGGACGCATTGTATCTATTGTGTACTTGTGATTGTCTTTATAAAAAGTTACTTTTGCCCCTCCGGACATTTCTTCTGTTTTTACTAAAAAGGTATTTTTCCTAATCTTTTATGAGGCAGCGACTGTTTGCGTTGAGGTTCCCTAAAACCCACTGACACTGTATAATATTATGCCGTGCAAATAAAATTAACTATTGCTGTGTGTAATTATTCACTTCTTCTTCCTCCTAATAAATAATAAATGGAGCCCAGCCGACGTAGAGGAAAGAGCCGCCAGCAGCGCCGGCAGTTGTTGTGAGTCACATGACGCAGGCAGAGACGTCTGTTCGACCCGTCGACGAAGTCGTCCAGGGTGTGCGAGCATTTCACACTAAATAAACTAAAAGCGTGTCAATGGCAAAATATGCAAAGTCAACGTAAAATGGCACATGATCACCACTTTGTCCCGTATTGAAGTGAGGAACGTAAGGAGCCTCATTGTCACCCAGCTGATCAAGCTAGCGTTAGCTCGCTAATAACAGCAGTATAGCAATTAGCAAGACTAAAGACACATTTTTATTTACTCGCCTTTTTTGGACCATTTACTTTTCAATCTGTTGTCATTTATATATTTTGTGCTTTGTCACATATCGGTTATTGTTAACAAATATATTTGTGTGTGCTGTACCTTTTAATGCCATTTAAATTAATCTCATATCACTTTGTTATTTTTAGCTGTATTTAGATGTGGGGTCTACATTTTGTTGACTAGCACTACAATGATGGTAATAATTTAATGAATACGCTTCAAGTGAACATGGTGGTTTGTTTGTGACTGTGAGCTAAGTGAGTGTAGTGTAGAGAACAAGTTCTGACATTAAAACAAATACTGTTACATTTTCTGATTTGTATTTTCATTTATTTATTATAAATTATTATTATGTTCAAGGAGCAACCGTTTTGCAATGTGTATTTTCACTTCTGTTTTAGAATAAACGGGTGGAAATTACAGCTTTTTTTAATGTTGATTTTTTTATGAGATTCATTAATTAATCAAAAATAAAGTATTTTTTCTATGATAAATACTATTTTACAATTACTTTTTCTTGCATCATGTCTTCATTGTCCAAATGTATTCATGATGGTGTCTATATGGTTTATCCTCATTACAGTAGACTGGAAACTAAACTCTTAGACCTCACCTCGCCCCTGTAGTACTTCTCCTGCTCCTCTTTTTCTTCTCCTGTTCCTCCTCATTCTCCCCGTTCCTCTCCGCCTCCTTCCTCTTGGCGGCGGCTCCTCGCTCTTTTACAGCGCTCTTCCCTGTCTGAGTGATTTCCTTTCTCCCAGCTTTGCCTCGGTTCGTCTGACCCTCCTCTGGGACGCTTAGATCTTCCTCCAGGGCCGTGCTGTGCAGAGGGTTACCTTGTGGGCAAGACCGACAGTTATGAGGTCACCACAATGTTGGTGGTTTGACATTATGCTAGACTCCGCAAACAAGGCCACGGCTAATAATGAAGAAAATGTAGGAAGAAAAAAAAACAAAAACAAAGAAGAGGGTTTGTAGAGGAAATCTGCTTCTGTTCAACAAGATGACTCTGACATGGATCGTGATACAGCCAGATGTTGTCATGAACTTACCATAAGCCTGCTGCAGTCCCTCAAGGAAGCTCCCTCTCTCTATGGAGGACAGGTTGGGAGAATCCGTTCGATCATTGGGTGAACCTTTCTGCATTTGAACGCAACAGAGAAGTTCCATAATTCACAGTGGTTCAAGCTGTCTTTGCACAACACAGTGTAATAACACAACTACAGATTACAATATGTTGCATGGGAATTTCCTCCTTGTTTTCGTCACAGAGGAATGACACGTTCATATTCATGTCAGTACTGTTGTTATATCTCAGAGTGGCTTTCAATTGGAATCAAATCAGTGGTACAAATGCTACAATGGCCAATGACAAACTCACCTGTTGTGTCACCGAGAGCACTTTGGCTCTCCGGCCCTTTTTGGCACTGTACAAAGAAAAACAACATCATCATCATCATCCTCCTCCTCCTCCTCCTCCTCCTCCTCGACCAAGGCAAGTGACACCTCCTGACGAAATGAGTCATGGTCGTTGTTGATCTTTCGCCCTGATGAAGTGACGCACTGCAAACCTCGCGCTGTGTAATGTGGATAAAAAAGCTAAAACCAAACTCAATTCAGGAGGACTTTAACACACGTGACCGAGTGCTTTTAGTAGGTAACGTTACGTTTTAAAATGAACTCTAGTTTGTCTTCCATCTGGTAATCGTGTAGCTACATTACCTAACGGACACAAAACAAATGGCTAGTTATGCTAGTTTGACCACTCTGCCCACACGCATCTTCTAAATTAAAGTGACGTCATTGTTAAGTAGCGTTCGGTTATGTTGTCAGAGTTTCAATGAAATGCCTGACGTTTGCAACATAACAAAGAGTGATGTGTGTTATGAATGCAACGCTATGTTTAGATAACTCAAAATGCAGCTAGTTATATTTCTCACCTCATTGAGACACGAAGCAAACACGTCCGTTTGTAAACTCGGTGGAACGAACGTTAATTAGACATCGGAAACTTCCCGCAAAATGATTCAAGTTCCGGACTGTACCATTTCAGATACACAGGGGTGGGAGTTGCTACCATTTATAAAAGAAAGTTACCTTCCAAACTCAGTTTATTCGGATAAAAATAAACATTTTGACATCAATTGGTGTTCATATAATTTGGATGTAGTTTACCGTGAAAAAATATTTGCACTGAGAATTCGTACAAAAGACATAACAGCATTTTCCCCGAGCAGATGCGCTCACTCCTACGGAGCACGAAAGGGCTCAAAATCTGGTCTTTCTTTTTTTTAGCGAAAAGATTGAAATAGAAAGCGCATTACATTTAATACGTTCATTAAAACCCCTTAAATACAAGACCAAGTCTTATTTAAAGTACCTGAAATAGATGATGTATTTTATTTATTTTTTGATTTGGTCTAGTTCGTATAGACAATTAATTCATTCTAAATAAAATATACTAGGATTTGTGTCTTTATTACGCAAACAAAAAGAACGATTTTTGAGAGCAAATTGCTTGCATTGCAATCAAAATCAAGTTTCTAAGTAAAAATATTTAAACTGAGAATAAGTTATTTATTGTTTTTAAGAAACTAGAATTTTCTGCTGCTAAACAAAAACCTCAAGAAATACTTCTGCTCTCAAAAAAAAAACTTTTACTTTTGGGCGAGCGTTGTCATGTTGTCGAATCGAGCTGTCCCAGAATGTGGAGATAAGGTATTTCAGCTGTTTGAGGAATCTCCTCTCAATGTTTTGCTGCATCAAGATCGCATTCATGTCCAAGATGCATTGTTACAAGAGAGAAATATTCTGGAAAAACACATTTCCCTACTTTTTGTGCAATGTTTATATACAAATCCCTGGAGTAGATAAGATGGGACTCACTAAAACATACATATTTAAATAGCTTTATCTAAACACACAGCCCGTATAAAGCAAAATACACAACACACAGCTGTCTTGATGATTTTTAATTAAAATCTTTACAAAACAAATCAGAGATGACAGAACATTTATAGCAAACCAGTCAAACGCATTTCTAAAAAATGAAAACTCAAAGGTTGTCATTCAGGTTGTGAACGTAATTTTAAAATGTATGGTTTCATCCTTCCTGAGAATATAATAATAATAATAATTTAAGAAAACAGATTTTTTTAGAAAATGTCTTCCCTTCATGTTTCCATAAATAAATTCAAACCACCGAGTTGCCTTCTGTGCTGAACATTCTTGCGTACTTGGATTCCCCTTCACTTTAGCTATAACTCTCTTTGTTTAGATTATCGTTAACATGGCCGCTTCCCAGGGTCCTAATTGGACCAAAGCTTTTTCATGAACAGATAATAGAACCCAACAGACACAATCTCGTTATCCTTTGTGGATTTCAAATTTCTTCAAGGCAAACTCCAGAAACACGGTCGGATAAAATCATCACAACGGACAAAAGAAAATTCAACAAACAGTTGTCCACTAACCTTGATATTAAAATGTGCGTGTGTGTGTGTAGGACGTACTGTGTGTTGTTCCTGAGATGCTACAGAGCTACACTTCAACATTTTCCCTTTTAAAATCCATCCATAAAATATGTCAAAAGATCTGATTGGAATCAACAATTTATCACAGAATGTTGTTCTGTACGTAGCATGGGCTAAGCTATTTCATCAATAGACACATTTATTTGATCTTCAGAGATCTTATCCTCTGTTGCGTAGATCCTACAGGGCATTGATTTGATTCTAGAAGCTCAGAGTCAAGGTCCACTAAGAGCTACAGCGCCTCTTGCTGCGCTCGTTTCCAGTGCTGCTTGCCAAGTTCTAATTGTGGTGCTTTCGGTCGAGAGAATCATTGCCGTGGCTAAGAAACACATCTGGTAGCTTAAATGTTTCTTCTCTTCTTCCATTGCCTCCGTCTACATCTGGACGCCGGCGTACAGGTCCTCTATCTGGCCTCTGAAGTGCTGTCGCATTTCGTTCCTCTTGGCCTTCAGTGTCGGAGTAAGCAGGCCGTTCTCCACGGAGAACAGCTCGGTGTTGACGTAGATGGACCTCACCTGAGAGCAAACACACCAATACGCACACGCATTAGCAGGATGAAGATGTTTAAAATCTAAGCTGAATTCTGTGCCGTACTATTACCTGCTCAAAGGACTTGAGGCCTCCTTCCTTCCCCAATCGCACCATGTCCTCAAAGATGGCCGCCTTCACTTCCTGCACGGAAGAGAAAGAGAGGTACCTCAGAATTATGACGTAATTTTGATGCTATGCTCATGACTCAAAGCTCTTAGTGTCTCTTTCAAGACAACAGTTGTAGCCATCGTTCTTTTAACAAAGATAAAATATATCTTACAATAGCTACACAAATTAGAAGTTCACGGTACTGTGTCATTTTGTACACACCTGCATGTGCATACAGAGGAGGAAAAAGTGAAAATAGAACGCAGTGCAATCGCTGCCCGATTATTGCCATAGTTAATTTCCTTTTTCTGACACTGTTTGAATTAAAAAAATAAGTTTCACAACAACAGTAGTATTTGTTGTAAGTTATTGGATTTCTCCGTCTATGTTCGTTTAAGTAGCTGATATTGTTTAAATCCAATCAATAACAGTATTTCTCTTCCAGATGATCTCGTCTACCCACCCTACCCATCATCTACATCTCCAATCATGTTCCAGATGGCTTCTTTTCTATTTCGATTTAAAAATATTTGACTTTACTCTATTATGAATGAACATTTTTATATTAATGTTCAATTTTAAACACATAATGATCGGAGTGATCAAAGCTGATTCTTTCCATACGTCATTTTAGACTTCTCTGCTTAACGCAGGAATGCAAACACATGTATGGTGTAAAAAAAAAAAAAAACTCTGATCTGCACGATTCACACAAGTCACCCAAACTGATGTGAAATAAGCGGGAGGTGCTGAAAAGCATGCTGTTTGCATCCCTGTTAATGAATATAGTTGAGGGCCGTCCTCCACAAAAACAAAAAATATCCAAAGATCAGCCTCACACCACTTTCTTTTTGTGCATCCATTCAACCCAACACAAATAAAATACAGCGCTACTGTACTACTTTCGTCGTCAGTCATTAAACGGTGTAAAACATATATGTCAAACTCAAGGCCCGCGGGCGGGATTTGTTTTATTTTTGTCCTTCAGGATAATATTTATTTACTATTAGAGCTGCCCCACTGCTATATTGTATATTATAATACGGGTAGATGAAATCCAGCGTTCTGATTGGTTGAGAGTGAGTCACGGGGGGTGCATCATTGAGCGATAATGTACAGTTGCTTCACATTGACCCGAGCGTTCCGTATCACTGCGCACTCACAGTAGCTTTTAGCTCGGTGGCGATCGCCGGAAAAAACCTGGAAATCCCACAAATGAGCAGTTTCAGGCAATTAAGTTGGACGTCATCAGCGATGTGAATGAATGAGCTGGTGTGGAACCCAATGCTAATCAGTCCACCGGGGGTCCTATTGTGTGAGTGAGCGCATGCCACATGAAAATGATGCTGACCGGACCGCCGGCAATGGCTTTACTGGTCTGGCCTCAAAATGGGCCGGAGTGAGTGCGACACCCCCGGTGTAAAGTATTACCGCTCTGCCACAGAGGTCCTGGTAGCTGCCCTCCAGTCCCAGGGTCCTCTTGGTCCAGCTAGACAGGAAGTCGGGGTCAGGTACCACCACTGCCACAAGATATGCCTGGAGATGAACACAGTACACCAACAGCCGTTAAAAACAAGAATGAATAGCACAACATCTGTAACACACACACACGTGTCATAATGTGCTCTGCGTACCTGCAGACTGTCTCCATGCACAAAGACCTGCGCCACGGCGTCGCACCTGGTGTAGATGTTCTCTATCTTTTCAGGAGCGATGTACTCCCCCTGTGCCAGCTTGAAGATGTGCTTCTTCCTGTCCACAATGCGCAGCGTGCCATTCTGTCCACACACATGCGCACAGGATTACATTTTTTCACATGTCCACTAAACGTTAGCAAATAGAACAACTACGGGGGAAATTGTTTTGTGAGATGCTGAGATGAGCGAAGTGAGGTGAGGAACTCAAAACGGCATTGCTTAACCTACAGGAAGCCATTTCCCAATGTCTCCCGTGTGAAGCCATCCATCTGCATCGAGGGCCTCTGCCGTCTTCTCGGGGTCCTTCAAGTAGCCCTGGAACACGTTGGGGCCCTTGACGCACACCTAGAAACAAAAATACACACACGTATTAGTGAAGTATGATTATTGAAGAGTGTCTGTGAAGAAATCCGCTGGTGTGCGCTCACCTCTCCCTCTCCGTTTACTGCCAGGTAGTTCATCTCGGACACGTCCACCAGTTTCAGAGAGTTACAGGGCAGAGGGGCTCCTACGTGACCTGCGGGCAGCTCTTCATTAAGAACTCAGGGCGTTCACTGTTTTAAAGGATCAATGAAGCCGTTCTTATTCATTACCTGCTTCCCATTCTCCGGGCATGGTCATGGTGCATCCAGCAGTGCACTCGGTTTGTCCATAACCTTCATAAAACTGAGACAAAGAACAAGCATGTGATTATTATTACTGTCATGACTACCACTGCTTTAAACACAGGATTGTGCAACGTAGAAGCGATTGGGGTCAGAGAAGGAACGCGGAGCAGGATGTTGAGATGAGGCTGCATTTTCCATTTTTTAATAACCTGCTGCACTGCAGACTTTCAGGACAGGTGTGTGTGTGTGTGTGTGTTACCTGACAGCCTACTGCAGCTCTGAGGAAGGTGAGGACAGTTGGGGAGACGGGAGCGGCTCCTGTCAGCATGAGACGCACGCGGCCTCCGAGGCTGGCCTGTAGAGGGCAGCACACTGCGTTAATGCTGCACAGCAACATCGGCGCATCCCACAGACACATTCTACATCACAACATTCTACATCACTACTCCCTGCACGTTTTACTGTGTGCTCTGAAAGATGAGGTAATGCATTACATGATAAGCTAAGATAATACATGCTTGGTGTAACAGCAGCAAAAACGTCAAAAACAACAAGCGTTAGTAAAAACAAGGAA